GGATCACTAACCTCATGAAAATTGACAGCTAACGTTAACGATATCTATCCGCCATTAGTGTTGCATTTTTTTTTTGAGAATTCGTGTATTTTATTTCTATTTATTTCCCTAACAAAACTAGGCCTACGCTTCATATCGTTTTGGACCATCTACTTTACTTAGTAGTAACAAAAGACCAACCTATCTCTGATTATTATCAGTCGGTTTGAAGACCACTAGCTTGCTACATATAGCTTTTATAATGAAAATGACGGTAAATAGTATAAAACTAAGTCGTTATTTCTTTATGCCCTTTGTGCGCTTAGTTTTTTATAAACTACGCAATATATTCTAATGCGATTTATACCATTATTTATATAATTTGTTCCGAAAATATTTGCCTATACTAACTTAATAAAGCGGAAGAGTTTTTTTGTTTTTTTGTTGTTTGTATCTGGAATATCTGGAATTACCAATACGATTTGATTTTTTTTTGTAAATTATAGCCAGATGAGAAATAGTACAGGCTGGCATTAGGCTGTATACTATGGTAGACTATACTATTATATACTAGCTATCTAGCATTAGGCTACACCTCTCCGTTAGCCCTAAATATTGATTTTGTTAAGCAACTCAGAAGAAAAAGCGCTCCCGAAATGATTAATCCGCGTACGCTGGTGTATTGCTTAGTGATACGTAAATATGTACAACGTGGTACAAAAATATGGATTTATCCTCCATCTAAAAAAAGTCTGCGAGACTGTATTAAGTCGGTATTATGGGATCTAAGTAACTTGCGTTCTTAATCAGAATATGAAAATTCTTGTATAGAACTGTAAGTATTTTTGTAAGTAAGTATTTTTGAAGCTGATTATTTGTATGCTGTCACTTGCTTATTACAGTTTTATGTGTTATTATAGTATCACTCAAATCTTATTTCTGAAAAATGGTGTATGCAAACTGCCTACTAAAACTTATTTTTATGGCGTCATTGTACACTCTTATAAATACAGTAGTTTTATTACTTCTATCTCTGAGAGTGATATAAAACTAAAAAAAAAAATAACAGACATAGTACAATTTAAAGCTGTATAAGTGATAGAATAGGTATCGCCATTTTGTATGCGTTGCGTGTTTATATTGTGCTAGTGAACGCAATTCATTTGTTATCAATATATGAAAACAAGACAAAGATTTGTTGCAGTTAGATCATGTAAAATCTAAATAAAATTTATCCAATACTGTTCCCAAGGCAAGTTTTTTAATCTTTTATACCTATCGCTAAAGAGAATTATATGTTATGTTGAAAAAACAGATATACAGCGTAAGTAATAAAAATACTGTATTATGCTGCTGATTAAAAACCAACGGCTGTATGATCGGATCCATAATATACATAGTACAGCTACTAAGACTATAAGACCCTCGAAATACCGTTTAGGCTGTTTAGCAAATTGTCGCCATTTTGGGACCCATATAAACAAAACTTAAAATATAATTTTAGGAATATTAGACATTATTTTTAGCTTTTACTATTATTTTCAGTTTGACTAAGGATCACTGTACCTCAGTTTGCCTTCATATAGATTAATTTAATATATTTTTTATTGTAACCCATACAACCTATATTTGGTTACCATGTTTAGTATATTGTTCTTATACTATTTGATTATTTTGCTAGCGCATCAATTTTTTGATAAAAATCATATACAAGTTGACCGTAAATCTAATTTTGCACTTTTAATTCATCGACTATCACCTTCAAAACTCAACTCCAATTCGAGTATACTATTAATATAATAAGACATATTGTTTTACTCCGACATTAAATGTCCTATCATTCAATAAAAAAAGTACGTAAATAATTTAGAACGCTTATCTTTAAAAGTTACTTAAAAACAATATCCGTAGTGTAATAGTTTCTTTTCACACCAAATAACAGCAATAATACAGTGGTTATACAGGCTCTTAAATGCTTTTACAGCTACTATACAGCGCTACTTACGCATAAAGCTGTATAGTTTGTGCCAAAATTCTTAGTTTTAAGAACTGTGTAAGCGCTTATGCAGGCTTTTTAAAAAGAGCTGTAATTTATTTCTAAACTCTTTCATTTCACATTGCTATGCTATTTTGAAAATATACTTCTTTTAGCCATTCAGCGAAATAAAAAATTAATTGTATTTTAGCTAAAAAAACGGCTAAATTAATGTAGTGTAGAAATAAATTATACCTCTTTTAAAAATCATAATATTCTATTCTTTACTTTAGTCGCACATATCTTGGCGGCAAAGTGTCTAATTTTTCGCTTTTGTATGTATAAGAGGTTGATAGCAAATTTGTAAAGAATAATTTCGTACCTACATACTTTTCATGTATCGTGTACGGTTTTCTTTTAAAACGAAAAAAACGCGCTTTGGTACATTTTCCGGGACGCGGGGGTTGACGCTCACCTTGGAGGAGGAGCGAGAGTGGACAAAATTTAATTTTTATGGATTAAAATTCGACATTTTTTTGTTTTACATTATTATATAATGAAATTGATCTATCAATAAATACTAATAATTGGGTAGGTACGTATTATTTCATTTCGATAGTTTTTAATTGATTTATTTATTTAGTTTAAAATTTTTGTTGTTAATTTTTAGTACCGAAAGTTTTTTTCAAATGTGTGGTTACCACGTACATAGTATTAATATAATCGTAAATTAGGCACCGGTTCGTTCACGTGTATCTGTGTTACACTTCCCTTTCACAAATATTAACTACACTAAAATAAGCAAGCAAACAACCTTTCCTTGAAACTAATTTACATTAATTTCATAAACGAACAAATTTTGAAATCCCCTAAACCTACTTTAGTTTGTTTTAATAAGAACATATAAAGTTATCATAAATATAATATAGACAAAGTTTATTTCATCCAGTTATAATGTCGATATTTTTCCTTCTTTAAAAAGCGTTATCTCTTCACACTATCATTTTCTCTTATATCATCACGGTAGTTGACATATATAAATTTTACAAGGACAATCATATGGGCCCGGGACAATTTTTTGCAGGCCGTACAAATACCTGTTTTGTGCAGAATTCGAACCCGCGACCCCTAGCGATCCAACTCGTTGCTAAGCTACTGTGCCACAGAGCCTTCATAATCATTTATTATGTTTAGACTTAGGAAATTTCACTGAATAACTCAATTTCACAAGCAGCTCAAATGGACTCCAATTTGACTTCGCGGAAACACTCGATCGTTATGCCTCACAATTTCACAAAACAGTTAGACTAAATAATTATAATACGCTTACAGCTCTAAAGGACTTATTACAAAAAGTAGATCAGTGATAGACTGGGTTATAAAGGAGAGTCTTCGTCACAAAAGAAGTCCCTTAGTCGCGGCGCCAGTCTTCATGAAAATCAACACATTTAAGTAAGTTGATAGGCATCGGTGACAAATACACTATTAGTCACGTAAAAGTAAAGTACAATGTAAACAAAATTGAATATAATATGATCTTTCAGGCCAGAAACAAAAGTCCACATAGCTTTCCTCTTATTAAACTTAATGGAATCCCTCTGACGAGAGAACATTTTAAGTATCTCGGACATTTGGTAACATCTGACCTGAGGGACAATTTAGATATTGAAAGAGAGCGCAGGTCATTGTCTGTTAGAGCTAATATGATAGCCGGCAGGTTTTTCTCGTTGCAGAACCGAGGTTAAGACTATGCTGTGTAAAACTTATTGTACATCCCTCTACACGAGCAGCTTCTGGGTTAATTACTCTCGTGCATTTTGGGTGCTAATGGGGCTGCCTCGATTTTGCAGCCCATGGGGGATGTTTGCTGAAGCGCGAGTGGATTGTTTCTACGCGATCATACGTAAACGATGTACATCCCTGGTACATAGGATTCAGGCGAGCTCCAACCGCATCGTAGTGATGTTCTCGAATAGAGTTGACTGACAGTACCTGAACTATTATTGTATGGTTCATGTACTGGAAAATAAATAATCCTAACATTTGTTGATTTCTTTTTTTATTACTCTTTTCTAAAGATTAACAATGCTATAAACATTACTAATATCCCCCTTAACCACTCGTGGTAAGCTTAAATTGCTTGTGATACGAGTGGTTCAGGCCAGTAGTCGAATGGCGGATTCGAACCCACGACCTTTTTGAGTTGGCGGTCCGCACCCTGCCATTTAAAAAGTTATTAGAATCACAAATACTTATATTAGGATCTAGCGACCCGGCGGCATCGACTGGCTAGAACCTGTTAACAGTTTCCCTGTTGCGATGTGGTTAAAATAAATAAACAATCAAAATGTTGTTTACATTTAAAAAATCATCTAAGACCATTTATTTTATTAATTTTTCGATTTCTAAAAATTTACTTCCAGTTTTTCGAACAAATTATAGCCCAGAGGACTCCCGGCATTTCTCTCTTTCTCTTCGTCAACAGACAAACATAAAAATTTTAAAAATGGTTATTCATGTCTTGCATAAAAGTAACCCCGTCAGCTCAATAAAAGGCAGTTACTTCGATATTTATTTATTTTCAGGAGCAATGCTGAAGCTTTTTAAAAACAACTGAATTTGTCTCGATGGCATTAATTACACTCTTTTTGTTTGACAATTTGGGATCAACAGGTTTTTATGATATTAAGACTACTTGCAGACTGTATAACTAGATATAAGTTTTACAAATTGTAACAAAAACAATATTGGAACGAAATATTGCAAACATGATTTATATTATAATTATAGGCAACCATGGCTTAATAAATATAACAAGTAGACAACTAAAACACAAAAAACTTAAAAAATATATACAAACAAACACTTGAATTTTGTTTGTTTATGTTAATAATCTTATTGCGAAACCGTAAACCGGTTTTACCGCTTCAAACGACAAACGAGTTTGGCTTTAACCTTCCCCGTATTCGAACGTTTTACAAGTTAACAAAACTACTAATAATAAATATTATCTCTGTGTCGACGTTGATATAAAAATATCAAAGCCATGGTGCAGGTAAAAGTGGAACAAGGATTGCTGGAAGGCGAAGAACTGGAAGCTGTCACAGGCGACAAACGTTACTTCAGCTTTAAAGGCATTCCTTACGCTGCACCACCGCTGGGAAAACTAAGATTTCAGGTAAGAACTCTAAAGGCCGGTCTCAATAACCCATCTAGGTATCTCTTACTGGAAGTTAAAATGTCTAATAGCATCTATAGTAAAATAATTCCGTTTCAGTAATCAAACATAGATAAAAATATTTAACCATCAAAATGAACTACCGCTCGGAGAGCTTACACAAAATAAAACTTTATAATTTGTGTTACCCACTACCCGAATTAAGTGTGTTCATAGAAAAAAAAACAGCTGAATGTTTCAATAACGTTTTGACTTTTGGCACTTAACTGGCGATAGTTCAAATTACCAGATGTCAGAGTTTAACCAAAGTTATCATGAACTATCTATCTTTTACCTCGGGGAATCTTTCGAACATTACGTTATTGAGACGACAGTAACAGATAGCTTAAACTTAACTGTTTACTTTCGGTAGCTATCTACTTATAACTGACTGTGTGAAATTGAGACCGGCCGTAAGAAACTAAAAATAAAAGCAGTCGGTTTATAATTTTTTATAGCAGGATTGAATTCTGTACTCCTTGATCCACCGATAGGTAGGAAACTGGTTAGATAGCAGTAAAGCCGTAGTACAGTCATTCAGATTCATCAAATGATTTAGTTAATAATTTGGAAGTATGTAACTTATTAAAATCTTATATTGTTATAAGTACTCCTCCCTCTCCATCAAGTACAGTTCCCAATATGGAACCAGCACTACGTAGTTAGTATAAAAGGTTTAGAACTAAACAAAAGAAATTCATGAGTTACCTACAATTCAAATAAAAATACGATGAGAACTTTAGTAGTACGTCAATGATGAGTCTCACATGCAGGAGACGTGTACTACCACTCAAATAAGACGTAAACTTAACGGTTTTAAATAACACTAAATATAAACGGCTTTTAGCTGTTAATCTAGCTGCGGGTAATAAGGCATAGCTGAGGGAAATTCGAAATAAAAGGAGAAATATCCAATTTGGTCTACAGATTTTAGTAAAGATCATCACAGTACGGTAAAGTTTCTATAAAGTATGATAAAAAAACACTATTAAACTTTTTTAAAACCTTGCTACTAGGCCCTATTTTACTATGGTAGGATAATAAGGTCTATTGCTTTAACGAACTCAAAAAACAAACTATAATTAATATATTTTAAAATTGTGATCAAAAATCACATGAATGCAGCAATTAAAATTCTAAAATAAATATGAATTGCCTCGCCTAACAGTAATTAATGTAAATTATCATAATGATGAACAAACTGATAAACAAACGCACTCCTCATGATTATCATCATTGCGTCGGTTATGTCTCGAGTTGAAATGAGTGTTAGGTTGAGTGGATTGTAGGTTGATTATTCTCCCAACCGTATTTCTTGTCACTATCTGCACAGTACAGAATTATTATGTCTGAATGTATGCGATAGCACAAGCCCACCCTTTATACCCTCAAAATCATCAAATCGCAATTCGATACGGTCCGTTGGAGCTTAGGCATAGGTCCAATAATTTACACAACATTTAATAGCTTCTAATGTCAAAGCCTTAATTTTTCGACACACTTCATATTTCCGTTGTTTGAACAGCTGAGACCAGGGACTAAGACATTAGTAATATAAGCGTACGATTTATTTTCATTTATAACACTTTAAAAGTGATAAAAAATACATTATAAAATAAAATAAAAACTTTACAAGAAAAAGGAGTATAATAAGGCCTGTGGTGTAATTTAGTAGGCCTTAATAACCGCCGACCAAGTACTTAAAAACTGAATTAAAAAAATATTAGACCACGTCACATTTTTGTAATCTTCAAGGTCAACAAAGCATTTATTCATAAAGATAAAGATATGGATTTTAGATAGCTAAGTGTAATATTACTAAACATCCCTACAATTTATTTGGACCAATTTTTATTATTCGTGCTATGCGGTCGTATCTTATGATAGACTATGCAACTCTGGTGGCAGGACGCGTGGTAGCGCGTCTCTGCAAACTTGTAGACATTATCGTGCAATATGAGTCCGTCATTATCTCTTCGAGCTAGAGCGGTTTATATTAATACGATTTTTGTTACTTAGGTCTGATTAGCCGACAGGCCTTATTACCCGCAGATACCTTATTATTAAAGAGATATAGTTTGTTGTTTTAATAAAATTAAAACAAAATAAGTAGCGGCCTCTCAGTTATTTCTGCCACTGAACAGCAGTGTTAAGTTCTACCTTATAAAATTTAAAGGTCACAATTAAACTAAAAATAATAATATAATACCTAGCTTCTGACGCCGGTGCCAAGCCATACCTAGTCTACGGAAGAATTATTGAATTATTGCCCTGACTCAAGAAGATATTTTGTCATTATTTTATCCTTTTTAGTTTTTGCAGTCCGGTCAATAATTGCACCAAAAATTTTATATGCTATTTTACCAATTACCCTTGGAGGGGTGAATCTTATTCTTAAAAATTTTATGCGACCGCTACTGAAGTATAGACTATTTAACAAGAGAAGAAATACTAATATCGGTTCATACTGGTTGAAGTTATTTCTGTACATATAATAAAAAGCACGATCTTGAGCCACCTGCATCTCTCGACTTTCTGCATGTCTTACCGGTCGTAAGACATACAAAAAGTCGGCAGCTTCGTACCGGTAGGCGTGGTGCAAGAAATGCTTGAAGTTCTCTCTTCCTCTCTTTCCTAAATGACTGAAAGAGTGAGGTATAGAGAATATTAATATATAATTAATTGTAAGCGATAATAAATGACAATAAGGTCGTTAGTACATCGCTCTCTGATAATTGAAATACACATTATGAATAATGTTTGCAACTTGTTTTAAACTCTTTGGCTGCTGGAAACAGGCCCCCTAGAAATATCTTATATCTTATTTATCTTTACTATATCTATAATATATACTATAAAAAATACAGTCCACACAGGTAAGTGAATGCTGTGGCCCATAGACATCTACATTTATTTTCGATTAGGAATTAAAATACAGATGCGTTTTCACCCCTGAGGACTAAGATGGAATGCCTCGTTTCCAATAAAACGTATCGCTATTTGTTTAAACTCACCATACAAAACACAGCATTTTACGCTGGTATTCTGTAAGAACCTGGCCCTACCAGGGTCTAGCCGACCTATTCGTGATACAACTAATGCTACATTAGTTGTATCACGAATAGGCAGCGTGGCTCTACCACGTATATACGTATATCTCTTACAAATATCTTATTCTTATCTTATTTATTCACCTTTATTTAATCTTTGTAATCCGAAGCCTTGGGCGTATATCCTCCAAGGCATAGATTATTACTAAATATTAGTGAGGTTATTCGCAACTCATGCTGAGTGATGTCTTATGTGGCATTACTTACGACGTTCGAAGTCATTTTTGATATTTATGTATAAAAATGTTATAGCGATGCAGGTTTTTAAAAGCGGGAACTAATTAAATGGTATATTTTATATTCGGTCAGCAAGAAAAATCAGCTAAACACTTATTTTGACAACGTCATACGTTTCTGTCAGCCTTAAAAAACTACCTGATCAGCAACTAAATCAGCGATAATCAGAAAAGAAGTATTTGGTCAGTTTGATAATGTTTGCAAAATTGCTGCCTGCTTGGGATCCTATAACCAATAGAATTAAAACTAAACCCAAGCATACCACTGCAAGACCTCAAGACATAGTCAGATCATTTTGTATAGATCGGACCATAAACAATATATATATATATATATATATATGTATAAACACTGACGCCTGTAACCCAGAGTGGTAGGCAGAGCCTACAGACTTCCATTTGGCACGATACTGCCATACCTCTCTCGCCTCCTTCACATCCATACACCTACGCATACATGCTCGTCGGTTAAGGGTACTCCTAATTTGGCCCGTTTTCAATAAATCGCCAATTTGGTCGATAAATTTTCGCCTAGGTCGTCCCTTTCCGACTCTTCCATTCACTTCTGCACCATAAATTTTCTTTGTCACTCTTTCCTCATTCATTCTTTCCACATGACCAAACCACCGAACCATTCCTTTCTTAATCCTGGTCACAACATCATCTTGCAAACCACACTCTTCTCTTATTACACAATTTCTTACCCTGTCGTTCAGATTCAGTCCTAACATACTCCTTAACGACCGCATTTCTATTGCGTTCATTCTACTCTCGTGCTTCTTCTGCCACACCCAACTTTCACTACCATACGTTAAAGTAGGGACCAACACAGCATTGTGAATTGCCACACGTGCCTTTTTCGACACATTTTGACTCTTCACAATAGAGTGCAAGGCCCCATTTACTCTATTTCCCGCATTCACTCGTCGTTCTATATCCTTATCATATCTCCCATCCCTGCTAAATACGCAGCCCAAATATACAAACTCATCTACTTGCTCGATCAACTCCCCTTCTATTCTTATTTCACAAATCGTTTTACTTTCCTCTCTTTCAAAAGCCATAACCTTCGTCTTACTTGCGTTCACTTTCATACCCCTTTCTTTTAATGATGCGTTCATTAATGTAACCATCATTTGCAACTCGGCCGCCGATGACGCAAGAATAACTTGATCATCGGCGTACAAAAGGCATTTGACGGTTAACTCACCCATTCTTAATCCGCATTCTTCAACTTTCAAATTTTGCAAACAACTGTCCATAAATAGGTTGAACAGCCACGGGGAAGCCACACAGCCCTGTCTGACACCTTTATGGGTGTCAAACCAGTCCGAGCAGACCCCGTTGATCCTAACACAAGCACTAGAGTCCCTATAAAGAAACTCCAATGCCTGTATCAAGCCAGCGACCATAAACATACACAACCACCATAAACAATAATTAAAAAAAGCTGAAGGTACTCCGGGTTTAACAATGACATCGGGGCGTCAGTCACCTCAGTCCCCCGTGACCATGGGTTCTGGAAAGCACCCGAAACGTCAGGAATTAAAAATAAAAATAATTAAAATTAAAATTAAACGCGTTAAAATCCGTAAAAGTAGTTTTAATCAATGTGTAGTGTTCGCGTAAATATAGGAAATCATTATGGAGGTATAATTATTAATATCAGAACGTCAGTATACTAAATCGTTAAGGAGATGATTAATTATTTGTTTATTTAAATTTAATTTTTCTTATATTTTAGGCTCCTCAACCTCCAGAACCATGGAAGGGAGTAAGAAAAGCGACTGAACACGGACCTGTTTGTATACAAAAAGATATATTTACAAATCAGTTTATTCCTGGTTCGGAAGACTGTCTTTATTTGAATGTTTACTCACCAAATTTGAAGCCCCAGAAACCACTGCCAGTAATGTTCTTTATTCATGGAGGCGGATATAAAAGCGGCTCAGGAAACGTAGATCATTATGGACCAGATTTTCTCGTCTCACAAGATGTTGTCGTTGTAACGATAAACTACAGGCTTGAAGTACTGGGATTTCAAAAGATGTCCCTGGTAATGCAGGAATGAAGGATCAAGTGGCTGCGCTCAAATGGGTGAAACGTAACATTTCCAACTTCGGAGGTGATCCAAACAATGTAACTGTTTTCGGTGAAAGTGCAGGAGGTGCGTCCACGGCATTACATGTTCTATCACCTATGTCAAAAGGCCTTTTTAAAAGAGCTATTCCAATGAGTGGTGTACCATTTTGCGATTGGTCAATGGCTTTTGAACCTAAAAGGAAAGCCTTTGTTCTTGGAAAGCAACTAGGAATAGACACTACTGACACAGAAAAATTGCTTGAACTTTTACAAAATATTCCAATAGAGAGACTAGTTGATGCAAATCCTTCTGTGGTATCGTCTGAAGAGTTGTCGACAGGCAATCTACTAAAAATATATCATTTCACGCCAGTCGTGGAGAAAGATTTTGGTCTTGATCATTTTTTAACAGAAGATCCTGAGGAAGCGATGAAAAATGGCCGTCTTAATGATGTAGACATTATGATAGGCTATACAAGTGAGGAAGCTGTAGTTGGTGTGCAATCTTTTGAAAATAATTTAATAAAAACCTATAATAGGTACAGCGAAATGCTCGTGCCGAGAAAGATTTTGATGAAATGCCCTACGAGCACTATTTTAGAGATATCAGATAGAATCCATAAATATTACTTTGGAGATAAACCCATAAGCGTTGACTGTATGAAAGAGTTTGTCCAATACGCATCTCATAGTTGTTTCCTACGTGATGTACACAAATACTTAAATCTTCTCCCTAAAAAAGGTATAAGGATATACTTGTATAAATTCTCATGCGTCTCTGAGAGGAATATTTATGGCAATCAAGGTTCCAAATTTGGTATAACTGGCGCGGCGCATTTAGACGATTTAATGCATTTGTTTGATGCAAAAATGTTCAATTTAAAGGTGGACAAAAGTAATTCGACTTATAAGATGATTCAACAGACATGTACCTTGTTTACAAACTTTGCGAAGTTTGGGTGAGTTGAAATTTGATTTCATCATCATCATCATCATTACAGCCCTTCACAAGTCCACTGCTGAACATAGGCCTCCCCCAAGCAACGCCACAAAGCACGGTCCTGAGCCACCTGCATCCATCGACTTCCTGCATGTCTTACCAGGTCGTCACTCCATCTAGTGGGGGGTCGCCCTACATTACGCCTACCGGTACGAGGCTGCCACTCGAGAACCTTTCTTCCCCATCGGTTATCGGTTCTTCGAGCTATACGGTCCATTGCCACTTCAGCTTACTAATCCGTTCGGCTATGTCGGTCACTCTGGTTTTCTTCGGATATCCTCATTTCTGAGTCTATCACGCAGAGAAACTCCGAGCATAGCCCTCTCCATAGCTCGCTGAGCGACCTTGAGCGTCCTCATACGGCCAGCGGTGAAGGACCACGTCTCTGATCCGTAAGTCATCACTGGCAACACGCACTGGTTGTACACTTTAGTTTTCAGAGATTGAGGTATACCTGACGTGAAGATGTGTCGTAATTTCCCGAACGCTGCCCAGCCGAGTTGAATCCGTCGATTGACCTCTCGGTCGAAGTTGGACTTACCTAGTCGGACTATTTGTCCCAGGTAAACGTACTCGTCAACAACTTCGAGCATAGTGCTCCCAACAACTACCGGCGTAGGTGTGACATGGACATTAAACATGATCTTTGTTTTGTCCATGTTCATCTTAAGACCTATCCGTTGGGAGACACCATTGAGGTCATTGAGCATAGTGCTAAGGTCCTCCAGCGATTCTGCCATAAGGACTATATCGTCAGCAAATCGAAGGTGAGTGATGAACTCGCCATTGATGTTAATACCGTATCCTTTCCAGTCCAGTAGCTTGAAAACGTCTTCCAACGCAGCGGTGAAGAGTTTCGGGAATATAACGTCACCCTGTCTTACACCTCTCTGCAGTTGGATACGCTTCGAACTCTGCTTCTGTACTCGGATAGCCATCGTAGCCCTACTGTACAAACACTTCAGCACTTCGATATACCGACAGTCAACTTGGCACCGCTGAAGGGACTGTAGCACCGCCCAAATTTCGACGGAATCAAAGGCTTTCTCATAATCCACATACGCCAGGCAAAGTGGTAGATTGTACTCCTCAGTCTTCTGTACAATCTGCCGCAGGGTATGTATGTGGTCTATGGTACTGAAGCCTTTTCGGAAACCGGCTTGTTTGGGAAGCTAGAAGTCGTCGAGTCTGCGTGCGAGACGATTCGTAATGACTCTCGAAAACAGCACGTAGACGCGGCTCAGAAGGGAAATCGGTCTGTAGTTCTTCAAGAGAGCGTTGTCGCCTTTCTTAAAGAACAAGACCACCGCACTTCTGCTCCACGCCTCCGGAGTAGTGCCTCCATGGAGGACGGAATCGAAGAGCTGTAACGCTGTAATTCCATCCTCGCCTGGGGCCCTGTCGTTTTTAAGGTGCTGCAAAGCCATTCTAATCTCGCTCAGACTGACGTCCGGGATATCATCGGAATAGTGTCGGGTAAGACTTGCTCTTGGATCGTTACTCACACTTGCGTGTGGCTCCAACGATGATATGTACAGCTGCCCATAGAACCTCTCAATCTCACTCAAAATCTCAGGTGTCTCGGAAACGATGCTGCCACACTCAGTCTTCAGCATTGACAGTTGGCTCTTTCTGGCAGACAGATCTCTGGCAAAGACTTTGGAGCCCTGGTTCCGCTCGATCGCTTCTTTAATACGAGCAGTATTAAAGTTGCGTAAGTCTCGCCGCATGCATTTGGAGATCTGTCTGTTCAGTTGCCTGTATGCTGTCAAATCTGTTGACGATTGCAGCCTCATCTCCCGTCTGACAGCCATGAGATTAAGAGTGTGATCGGAGAGTTTTTGTGTTCTTCTGCGGCGAGTCTTGCAGTACTTAGCTCCGACCGCATGGACAGTTTCCATGAGCTTGTCATTCATATCGTCCACTGCATTGCAATCTTCTAGGCACTGAAAGCGGTTACGTAACTCGAGCTGAAAAGATTTAGGATTCTGGATTAGAGCACGAGCGGGACGGAGCGTTGACTTCATTAGACGAGACCTCTTCAACTTAACGTTTAGGTTCAGTGTGCCTCTAACCAACTGCCAGTGCCTAGCCAACTGTTCAGTGATGTCTCAGTAATCGCTGCCGGTTTTCACCCTTGCGATCACTGAGACATCACTGAACAGTTGGCGTCTGGTCGTCATAATGAAGTCAATCTCATTTTTTGTCGAACCGTCGGGGCTCGACCAGGTCCACTTCTTGTGAGGCCGCTTCTGGAAGAAAGAGTTCATCATAAAGAGTCCCTCTTTCTCCATAAAGTCAGCCAGCTGCTGGCCCCTACGGTTCCGTTGCCCTACTCCAAAATACCCTAACTTCAGCTCACCGCCTTCTCTTGTGCCTAGTTTTGCGTTGAAGTATCCCATCAACACCGTGTAGTAGGATTTGAAGGAATGCATGGCTTTGAAATATCCTCATACATTTCCTCCACCTCCTCATCGGGATGTGCCGAGGTCGGTGCGTAGACCTGTATGAACTTCAGCGAATACCGTTTGGTGATTCTGAGTATCAGGTACGCGACCCTCGTCGACACACTCCCAATCTTTACAACCTTGTTGACGAGAGACTTGTGAACAATAAATCTTACACCTCCTTGGGACAGATGGTCGCCCTCCCGGTGATAGAACAAGTTGCCGGACTCGAGGATTACCGTGTCCTCCCCCCTCTCTTCGGACCTCAGATAATCCAATAATATGCCAGCGCAACTTGTCTACATCTTCTTCTAGCTCCATTATCTTCTCGTCAGTCCTCAGGGTGCGTGCGTTATACGTTGCCAGGTCGAGTCGTCGTAGGTGGCAACCGAACCTCCACCGGAGATTCTTAGCACCCCCTGCCCCGCCGTTACCATTAATATAATAAAATTTGATTTAGTCATTAATATATATACCAAACGAGCACACAGTTTATATTTATCTCGATTAAGAATCAAAATGCCGACTGAGGGCTAACATGGAATGCCTAGTTTCCCGTAAAAAGGTCAAGAAATAACAATAACGATATCCTGACCAAATATATGTTACGACGGGATTACAAAGCATGTCTGTGCACAAGCACAAGTGCTCTTTTATTAACTGACACTCGTAGTCCGATAGGACATCAATCCGACACAGTTTTACCTGCTTTCCTAGACACGGAGTTGAAACACCACCAACTTTCTAATTACGGGCTGCCTCTGATAATTTCTATGCAGAAAACACCAAGTAGATTTTTGGTATGATCCGGGATTTAAACACAGACCAAATGATCATCAGTCGCGCTTACGATCACTAGACCAACTAGACATCTTTATTTATATAATTCTTTTGTATGTGTTTGTCACTGAACTCGTCCTAAACGGTTGGAAAAATTTTGATGAAATTTTTTGTGTATGTTTGAGTTTGTCCCTGGACGGTTGAGATTCACAATTGGACCAGCTAGGTGGTGCTGTTGTTCAGGGTCGAATCGCTAGAAGTATATAAATTTTAAATTAAACACGTAAAATAATGTGAATATAAATAAAAAAAATTATATCAACAAACAAAATGAAATTCCGTGAAGTGATGAGACGTCATAATGGATTCCAACTTAGCCTTTTCAAAATAGACTTCAACAAAAAAATAAAAAACAAAACTACAAAAGTATTTTAGCATCGCTGTGTTTCAATCCTGATGTTGGACCATAACCTGTAACTGAATATGAAATTGTGATTTTTGATGTGATAAAAGATGTTTGAGCTGAGCTTTAGGTTGGTTGACATAATTCTTCGTTTCTATAACACTAGCCGTTACTATAATACTATAATAGCAGCCGTTGAATAATTTAAAAACACATATTCAGTCATTAATAACAGCCTATCTTAAGCCCACTGCTGAACATAGACCGCCTCCTTAGATCGCCTCATATTTGGTACAAGGGACGCCCTGGATGGAAGTTTTTCGACCAAATTGGCGACATATTGAAGATGGGCCAAATAAAGAGCACCCTTTAACCGAAGAGCATGTATGTAAAATAGGTGATAGAGGTGTGTCAGGATCGTGAAAATGCCAGTCCGTAATCTCTACCGTAATAGAATAATGGTGACAAACGAGCACACACTCCACCTGATGGTAAGTGGATGGTGAGGCCCATAGACATGTAATAAAAAAAAATATATATATATTCCACAGTTACCGCGCACCGCAGTTTTTTTGATTATTATTTTTCACTTTAAATTATAATCCCACGGGATTATATAGGGTAGCGGATTCTCTTACGCCGCTGACACATGACCGCTTACCGCTAGAAAGAACCCCTTTGTCGTATCTCCTCAGTTTCAAGGCACTCCCCTTGTGGCCTTAGCCAGTAACGGAATTATCAGTGCAGTTTTGTGGTCACTTGGAAGCGAAGGCCAAATTGACCTCTTAAAAGCTTGGTGTGCTCAACAGAGTGGGACAGTATTTCATGCCGGCACATCGCCTGCAATTTTACAAGGCGCAGGTTTGACCGTACATAGAATACTGTTCCAATCTCTAGGCCGGGGCTCCCCAGTGCCAGATTTATTATCAACTACCACTTGACCGCATCCAGCGCAGAGCGTCTAGAACTGTCGACGAACGAGACCTTGAACGAGTTAACAGGCCACTGGGATTGCTCTGAGGAAAATGTCACGAACGCACTATACATAATGCTTGGCGATCCACCACATTCATTATACTAGGAGTTTTCTTCCTCGTATGACTTTTCTGTGGAATGGCTTATCAAAGAGCTTACTCCATTCTAAAAGGCCGGTAACGCACCTGCAATTCCCCTGGTGTTACAGTTGTTCATAGGTGACGGTAGTCACTTACCAACAGGTGGGCCACATGCTCCTTTATAAAAAAAAACAGACATACAGACAAAATACAAATTTTTTTTCGATACGTACCATATGTACATACTTTCTTATGCATTTTATAAAAAAAAATTATTTTAAAATCACAAACAGACACTGCAATTTTATTCATTTGTATTTTTCCTTGTCCAAACAAACTTTGACATCTGAAATTTTGTTTGGACGTTTGTATGTTTGTGGATCAATCACGTAAAAACTACTTCACGGGTTTTTATGTAATTTGGCAATATTGCTGATAATAAATCGGAGTACGGCATCGACTCTATTTTTTATATTAAAAAATTTTAGTCTATTTAATTAATTTTTTTAATCAATGGTACAATTAAAAATGGCTTAGTTTTTCATACAACGCGAGCGACTTGTATATGAATTGATTGTTCGTCGCAGTTTCTCTGACAAAATATGTGACAAGAATATCCGTAAAAAATATGAGGAACAAACACAGCATTTCACGTGTTAGAGCCACGCTGCAGCTATATTAGTAATATAGCTGTAGCACGAATGGGTCGGCTTGACCGGGGAAGGACCACGCTCTCACAGAATAGCGTTAAATAGCAGCTAAAAGCTGTTGTGTTTCGTATGTGATTAGAGAAACGGATACCCTTTTTACTTTTACTTAAACGAGGCATTCCATCTTAGTCCACAGGGATGACGACACATTTGCATTTTGATTCTTAATCAAGGATAAATGTAGATGTCTATGAGTCACAGCTTCCACTTACCATCAGGTGGACTGTGTGTTCGTTTGTCACCCTATACTATAAAAAAAATCCTAGCGGATCAGTAGGCTCAAGCAACCACAAACCGAGCAGAAACCTTCTGACAGACGCAATGTTGGACCCACTACATAAAATTACAATCTGATGATTCATACTGGCAGTTGGTGAATGGACCCGATTCAGGATTGTACATTTTAGTAGTCAACGTGGGAGGCTCATGTTATGCAGAGGACTTTGTTGGGCCGTAATGATGATAATTATGATGAATTTTTTTGAATAAGTGAATTAGTTGCACCAACTTATAATTTTTATGTTTTGCAGTAACCCAACTCCTGATTCCTCGCTTGGCGCAATATGGCCCGAATACAATGAAGCTACAGGGGCATATCTGGATATAGGCGAGAAGTTGACACCCGGCGAAGCGCTTGACGCTGAATATTTGAAATTTTGGAACAGTATATATGAATACGCTGGATTAGCTTAATGTTAGAACGAATATATTGTAATCTTAAGTAACATTCTTAATTTGTCGTTAGTCATTTTCGTTTAAAAAAAATATGAATATGCGATTTTACATTTTTAATCATTATTTGAGTTGCCGTTTGATTGCGGGATAAAATAATCTATCACTCCATTTCCTCCCGTGGGTGTCGCTAAATGTAACTATAAGAAAGTTCATAACATTTTATGGATTCCAATAGATGGCGCTAAAATCGCATTTACTCCGAACGTAAAATATCTAAACCAGTGACGGTCAGCGGCGATAAGCGTGCGATACGTCTGGAACTACGTCTATTAATCCGCTTGTCAGGTGTTAAATAAAAGGGCATGTGTTACTTCTTCTAGGTCTTTAATTATACTACCCCATTCTACACTTGACTCTATATTGTCGTGGGGGCTACACTACACTACACTAGGAACACGCTCACACGCACACATACTTCTTAAAGCATTTTCAAACAACGATAAATTTTAGATGTATATGTTTGCTTCCGGCAGTGGACGTGTACAGGCTGTCAAATAAATAAAGAAAGATGTGCATCGCTTAAAATGTACGCAACGCTACGTAGTACTATATTTTTTTATATTGTTTATTCTGTGGCAACGCTCCGTATATCTTTCTTTGTTTGTCCGAATACCCAACTGAATCTGTTAAATTAGTTTAATTATTGTTTAATTTACGCGTAAAGTAATTAAAATAATATTATAAATGATGGTTGACTAAGAGGCAAAAATATCAAGACTTAATCATTTTGTAATGAAAAAAGAAAAATTTTTTTTCATTACCGCCAATAAACTTCAGGATATGCTGATACAATCTGTTAATAAAAAATAAATTTTATAAAATAATTTCTTACTGGTATTCACCAGTAAGTACACAGATAATTATAAAAAATTAAGATAAAAGCTATGAAATTTGCAAAAGTTAGTTTGATTAAATAAATTATTTGATTATGATTTCCTATGATAAGTTTTTGAACTATAAATGTTGTATTTACACACGTCAGGGATTGTCTTGGAGGTAATGCCAACAGAATTCCGTCCTTTGATACCCTTTTTTGTGTAGGTATTTAATACAATAAAGTGTAAGTAAAAACGCAATCAAAATACGGCTTTTATATTGAATAAAGTAAATTAAATAAAAATTAAACGTTTTGTTTTTTGTTTTATTCCTACATTTAATTAGGAAATTTTAATTTTCAATTAAGCGACATTCCCGTAAAAATATGGTAAATAAGTTCACCATCTTGTTTCAAAGTGTAAAATAGTAATATAATTAGGACCAGTTGGCAGGTGGCGGCATAAGATGGGTAATCCATTACCTCATGTGATCCCGCTGGTGTGCATGCTCGAAAAATAATCATACCATAGAGAAGGTGAGACCAATTCGTCAGTAATTCCTCATAATGAGGGTATCCACGACTTACTGGCATCAGGATGGCGCCACTTAAAATGAGATTTTAATATTTGACTGATTTCATATCGGAGAAGTTAATTTGTTCGAAAAATATTAAGATTAATGTGTTACTGTACTATCAGTTATATTTAAAAGTAATTAGATTAAATATTAATAAATCAATCCACAGATACTCATAAAAGCAGAAAGTTTAAAAAAAGAGTTATCAATGTGCAAAAAATTAACCGAGACATTGTTTTGTATATTAGTATAATATTCTAGAAACTGATAAACTTTAATTTAAAACTAAATTCTCAAATAAATTATATTGTGTAACAAAAAACTTCACTTTTAACTAGAGACAGCCGAAGATTATGAGCCGTCATTGAGGTTCAAAAAAGTAAAATCTGAAAAAATGCAATAATCGATACCGTTTGACTTACGACCTTATGTTGTGCAGACGTTACGTTTGTTTTCATTACATTTACGCAACCATCAAATTATACACGTGTGCCATCTGGTTATCTGGTGACACTTGTCGTGCTAAATATCTTATTTGAGTTTTATCTCGAATGTTTTTAAAATATATTATATAACTTGAGTTTAAAGATATGTCTCTTTGCCCTTTACCCTGATGAAATAAATTTTGAGTTAAATAAAATACACTGAGATTTCTGTGATGACTACCTTTTGTAAATATATCCACAATCCTTCCATCGGACTCTCTCATTAGATCTTCAATAATAACGAGATGTGGGTTTTCACCATAAAACATATTGTTGCGCGAATAAGTCGACGTCATGTATCCGGCATTAGCGCCATCTAGTATCAGGGACGAGAGCGAGGGGAGCTTTCCAGAAAATGACATCACTAATATTTCAACCGACAGCGCCATCTAGTCTCGGAACGAAGAACTAAGCTTATAGAAGCTGACGCTCGAACTCTCGGCCCCTTGCGCGTGTTTACTTGAATATTTCGGTGCTAATTTGCGTGCGTGCGTGCATGCGTGCGTGCGTGCGTGCGTGCGTGCGTGCGTGTGGGCGTTCGTGCGTGCGTGCGTGCGTACGTGCGTGCGTGCGTGCGTGCGTGCGTGCATGCATGCATGCGTTCGTGCGTGCGTGCGTGCGTACGTGATGCGTGCGTGCGTGCGTGCGTGCATGCATGCGTGCGTGCGTGCGTGCGTGCGTGCGTGCGTGCGTGCGTGCGTGCGTGCGTGCGTGCGTGCGTGCGTGCGTGCGTGCGTGCGTGCGTGCGTGCGTGCGTGCGTGCGTGCGTGCGTGCGTGCGTGCGTGCGTGCGTGCGTGCGTGCGTGCGTGCGTGCGTGCGTGCGTGCGTGCGTGCGTGCGTGCGTGCGTGCGTGCGTGCGTGCGTGCGTGCGTGCGTGCGTGCGTGCGTGCGTGCGTGCGTGCGTGCGTGCGTGCGTGCGTGCGTGCGTGCGTGCGTGCGTGCGTGCGTGCGTGCGTGCGTGCGTGCGTGCGTGCGTGCGTGCGTGCGTGCGTGTGTGTGTGTGTGTGGGTGTGTGTGTCTTACGTAACTAGCTCTTCAGTGTCATTGTAGCAAACGTTGGGATTTCATCTATAATAACTCCAAGATATTTGGACATTTAAGAACGCGCTATGGGTTCATAACTGCAGCCATGCAAATAGGTATTATAATTTCTGCAGTAATGAATTGTTAAGGGCATAGTAATCGGAGGATCTAATGTTAGTCTCGATTTATAAAAGCGTATTTATGTAGTCTTTTCCTGATTAAGTGTAAGGAGATTAACGTTTAAGGACATGGCAATACGATATTATTATAGATAATAGGCCCTGATCCGCAGTACTACTCGACTTCGTGTCGTATCGTGAAATAATATTGCTGTATTATCTGCGTAAGCAATTACATTTGAATTAGATAACTTTGTTCCAGGATATCGTTCAAGCGCAGGCTGAAGAGAGTGAGTGCAAGGGTACTTGGCTTTGTGAAACCCGTAAATGAACATGCAGTTGCCTACTAGTGTAAAAGGAAATTACGTTATAGTGTGTAAAAGTTGGAACTTTTACACACTGTTTTCGAATTTTTAGATAAGTTTCAAACTATTGAAGTGTAATTCCATTTACTCTCGCGGTTTCTAGATTTTTCAAGAGGAGGCCAACAGAGAAATGTCAAAGACTCGCGACAGGTCAAGAATTACACGTATGCAATATTGACCATTCTACACGTGTTGTGATATCTGGTCAGCTAGTGTTGCTACAGCATCCTCGGCCGATTTTCCCTTTCGAAAACCTTATTGCTTATCTGAAATAATCCGATTTTTATGTAGAAAATGGACAAGTTGCATGTTCACTATCTTCTCTAGAATTTTTGATATAATACTAAGTAAAGAGATGGGTCTGTAATTTTCCGGCAAGATTGGAGAACCATTTTTGAAAATAGGTGACAATGCTGCAGTTTTCCAGGATTCTTTATAAACTCCAGTTTCTAGACTTAAATTAAATATCTGAACGAAAATTATTTTAGGTCTTTTTAAGCAGTGTAATAGTAACATGATCTAATCCTGTAGAACTGCTGGTTTTAAGGTTATTAATATTTCGGCTCACTTCTTGCTCATCAGTAGGGTGCAGATATAAAGAGTTTGGGTTAGATTTTGAACATCTGTCATTCTAGATTAGTAGGTCTTGAGACGAGCCTCAGTTTCTTAAGATTTTTTTTAGCGAAAACCTCCCATACTGTTGCGAAATGGTGATTACATTGGTTTCAGAATGAAGTTGGGTTGTATAGATCCGCAATGAGTGTCATGGCGTGGTACGCTGACGTAAAATTATAGCATAGACTTTTAATTTTATTCCAAAGGCTATGTGCATTGTCCTTGTTTTTAGTAATTTCCTTTCTGTTATATTTATTTAAACATATAATTATAAGTTATGTATATTATTTAAATTATTAGTAACTGGGGGCAAAATGTCACTACTTTTTGTATTTTACGTTAGAGGGCGCTGTTTTGAAAAAGTTAAACGTAGATTGTCACCGTAGTCCAATTTATTACGCAATGGTTCGAACTAATTTAAGGCTTTATTTATAAATATTTTATTTATTTAAATTAATGTTAATTTTTGTGAATGATTGATGATATAAAATAGAAATTACTCCTTTTTTGAAGTTCCGTATTCAAGTTCGTAACAAGTTGTCTCAAGTCCCTAACTACATACATACAGAATTTGACGGAAATCTGTATAGTAGTTTTTGCGTGAATGGTGAATATACAGACAGACCGACAGACAAACAAACAAAAATTCTAAAAACCACAAATTTTGCTTCAGTGCCCTTTTATATTTTAAATAGTAGAGTTACGAGTATAGACACGATTTTTCTACAGATTTACTATATGTATAGATATGAGTCATTTTTAATATTATAAATTGCTACACCTATTAAAACCTCAGTATAATATACAATTTAACACAACATAATATAAACACTCACGCCTGTCACCCAGAGGGGTAGGCAGAGACTACAGACTTTCATTTGGCACGACTGTCTGTGAGCATCTTCCTAAACACAACTCAAAATAATATTAAACTGTGGTTGCCGAACGCCTGCCAAAT